GCGAGCGTGCGCGCGCGCGTAGCCGAACGGATCATCCCCACTCCAAGTGGGTAAACGTTCTCGGCTGGCATCACTGCGTCCGGCTACGGCAGCCGAGCAGCTCGGTCAACCGTGTCTTGTGCGCGCGTTGAATGCGGAGATGTTGATCGCGTACATACATAGATCACGTCGTTTTTTGCGATCTGAAATGCGAGACCGAGTCGATAAATGAAACATCCGCATATAGACGAATAGACGGCGATGGTTGTGCCGCTCTCGCAGCTTTCCTGAATCGACCGAATGTTATAACTTAACCTAGATTTCGCTTTTATGCTGCTCTATAAATGTAAATCGCTTCAAGATGATGCAGCAATACATGAAGGAATTGGAGCAGGTTTCTCACTCTTTCCGTCGTACCGTTTATTTTACCGTGTAAAACCTAACCTTAACACATCTGTCATTTCAAGATTGTTACAAGAACACGAGAGTCGTTTCGATAAATTTAATTTTATATTATACAATTTAAAAATTTCTTAATATAATTTCTTATTCTGTCGCAGCAACAAACCGTTTATGAATAGATTACCATTGTTTCGCAGGATCCATTTGACCCCGAAGAATTTGTTGAAAGATTAGCTTGGAGAACTGTCAATGACAACACGAAGGATAGAGGAAAGTCCTTTTTTGACCCAGTCGTCGTCCACGAGACCTTCCTACAAGCAATCAAAGACCTGCAGATACTACAAGAACGTCAGCAGAAGAAGTGCGACAAGTTGGAGAGCGCGCTGAAGGAAGAAGAAACTCGGCATACGTTTGAGATATTAGAATTACAGGAGAGAAATAGACACTCTATCGATTTATTTCATCAGTTGGACGAGAGAATAAATCTCGTTGCTACTAAAGTTTTACATCTGGGGGATCAGCTGGAAAGTGTCAATACGCCAAGGGCAAGAGCGGTTGAGGCTCAAAAGCTGATGAGACACTTCTCGGAGTTTTTGAGCCCCGGCCCTTTGACGGATCCAATTTTCACAGACAAGTCGTCGGTAAAGATGGTCAAGTCAATTAATTACACATTACAGCGAGGTGAAGGTTTATTTATTGCCATTTGTTTCAGTTGAATGACGCTGCAGATGTGATACAGAAGCTTCATCTCATAGCCCAGGAACTTCCCTCTGAGAAATTTGAGCATGCCAAGAAGAAAATTGGCGTCAAGTACGACGAGATAGAACGCAATCTAATTGAGGAGTTTGTAAGAGCGCACAACAGAGACGACGCGCCGCGCATGAGGGAATTGGCGAGCACCTTGGCGCACTTCAAGGGCTACTCGCAGTGCATCGACGCGTTCATAGAGCAAAGTCAGATGGGTTCTTTCGGTGGGAAAGACGTCTTTCAAGACGTCATACCTATGTGCACCAAGTATCACAAGCTTATGCAACAGGTATTCTCTAATCCTGAACAAGTGATGGCCAAGTTTGTCCTCAACATTTACCATCTGCGCCTACAAAAGTACGCGGTGGCCAAGTTGGCGGACAAAACCGATTCCGACAAGTATCTCAAGAATCTTTACGATCTGTACACGAGGACTGTCAAGCTCTCCAATGACCTTAAGGTCTTCAATATGGGCGCTGACGAGACTTATCTCGCCAAACTTACGAGGAACATCTTTCAGAAATATTTAGACACTTACATTAGGTAAGTTGATGAGTAAACTAGGTAAGCCAGAAAGATTTCGAGTGTAGGTCTGAGTGGCTCAGTTGGTAGAGCGTCCGCCCGGCAAGTGGAAGGAGTGATCCCAAATCGTGGGATTTCTGGCGCACGCGCAGTAGCGTGAACCTTTCTGCCGCGCGCATAGCGATCACGTGACTACCATGAAAGACTCGTACATACAGACAACGTGGGAGGGTTTCTAGAGACCAGTGTTATTTATTATTCAATTTTACATCGACTTTTTATTAAAACTTATATTAATGATATACAGGGTGCTTAAATGGCCAAACTTGAAAGATGTATTTAGGACCTCAAAGCAAGAAAAATTTTCCTTTGGAAATATGCTCGTAAACGTTCCGTTCAAGAGATATTGACGTCTGAAGTTATGAACTTTTAGGAATGAATAATTTCGAAATATGACTTTCTTTGATTCAGAATTCCTTGTCTGGTAAATATGGCTTCATCTGTCCATAAAATGTTTTGCGAGAATTGTAAATCATAATTTGTTCGATTTAAAAACCAATCGCAAAACATTCAGTACGACGGAACTTTGTTTACGAAATCGAAGGTCATTGATAGGCTTTTATTTGCATGGTAAACAAAGCGTCGTGTCATCGTACTTAGTTCGTTGAATGCTTTCGTCGAATAAACTGAAGTGCCTGTTAATAATCTTCAATCATTAAAACGGAGGATAGTGCAGGCGTGTAACGAAATTACAGACGCACAATGTCAGTCAGCCACTCATTCTGTCATCGATAGGTGCAATGCATGCCTCCAAGATGGAGGCCATCATTTTGAACAAAACGTTTAATAATTAAATTTTTATTATTAAAATAATTAAATTTTTATTATTAAAAAGCAATAAGGAGGATAAATCTAAATTATTTCGAAATTATTCATTCCTAACAGTTCATAACTTCAGAAGTCAATATCTCGTGAACGGAACGTTTACGAGCATATTTCCAGAGGAAAATTTGTCTTGCTTTGAGGTCCTAAATACATCTTTCAAGTTTGGCCATTTAATCCGGGAACACCCTGTATATATCATACAGAGCAGTTTATTAAACATTTGTTTAACTGATGAAAACCTTTTTGTACAATATCTCCTATACTCTTCTTGTAAGAGTTCTATCTAAACCCTCAAGTTGAGAAGAACGTACACGCTACTAAGCGGCTGCTCAAGCTTGCACCACTGCGCGTGCGCCAGAAATCGCACGATCTAGGATCACTGCAGTGGAAGGTCCCAGGTCCAAATCCTGGTCCGGTCCTAGCCCGTTATTCTTGCCGAAAAATTAATGAACGAGATACCTATCTCCCCAAAGATACATCCCTATTTATTACTATGGAATTGCTTAAAGTAGCACTGCTAAAAGTGGCAGAGTTGTTCATCAGTAATTATTTGCCCCATTGATTGTTTCAGTATTGAAACAAAGGCATTTCGGGAAAAGTCCGCGACTTTGCTCATAGAGTACTACGAATCTAAGAATCATCAGAAGAAACAGCTGCAAATGGGCGGTTTTCAGGAGCTACGTAGGGACTTGCAGGCCGTGTTGGGTGCAAGAACGAATATAAACATTGCTCAAATAGAAGATTACGGGGGCGAGACATTTTTGTCGGAGGAATTAGCGATCGCGATACTACAAAGAAGCAAGCTCGCGTTTCAAAGATGTCAATTACTCTCGCAGCCCGTCGACGTACCTGGAAATGCGCTACAGATCTTGGAGATATTGTTGCAATATTTAATAAGCGAACACGTAGACTACGCGTTGGAGTTGGGCTTACAGAGTGTACCGATACCGGAGAGCAGAACTCAACCAGAGATTCACTTCTTTAACGTTGTGCATCAGTGTAACGCGATTGTCCGACTGCTGGAGGAACAATTCAACGATAGCGTGCTGCCTCTCGTCGTGTACGCATGCTTTTTTACTCGTCTGATATGCCTTTTTTACAGGGTTGGAAAGTTACTTTATAAAAGTAACTAGTTACAGTTTTTTCGTTAACAATGTAATTAGTTACAGTTACACGTTACCAATTCTGAAAAGTAACGCGTTACAGTTACAGTTACTCGAAAAGTAACGAATCGTTACTTTGTAGTTACTCCCTTGCAATAGAAATAAATATATCAAATCTGCATCTGAATTGTAAAGCGGCGACCTTAGCGGAAAAAATTTCTATAAATAACTACAAAAAATTGACTTGAAATAGAAATTTGTAGAAATTTTTATATCTTCGTTGAAACATTTATTTCTTTGTAAAAATATCTGTAAAATAGTATCACAAATTACAATGTTCTCAAATCAAGAAATTATTGCAAGTAGTATTTCATGAAAATGTACAATTTTGTAAAAATTAGTACAAAACTTTATTAGTTTTAAAATTTTGAGAAACAACTGTAGAATATTACAAAAATTAACAAAAGTGTTCCAATTCTGGCATTTTTATGTTGATTTTTATAACACTTTAAATTTACGTAGAATTTCTTACATTCTGGCAGTTATATTTAATTTTTTTGTAGAATTTTGTAGAATTATTTCCGGCAGGGGATAAAGGCGTTTATGCGCAAATGCAAGGCCTAATGCGATCTGTGGAGGTTGAAAATATATATAAAGTAACTATTAAATTAATTACTAGTTATCGAAAAAATGTAACTGAGTTAAGTTACAGTTACAGATGTAGAGAAAGTAACGAAGTTAAGTTAGAGTTATCAAAAAGAAGTAACTGTAACTTCGTTACAAGTAACGAGTTACTTCCCAACCCTGCTTTTTTACACAGCAATACAAATTGGTAATACTGAGACAATGTCACCCCCTCCCTCCCCCCCCTTTTTTTAGCTCGACATCCAAACACGCGGACTGTTTGTTGAAGAAGAAAGCGATATTGGAACAAATAAACGTCAAATTGGACACAGGCTTGGACCGCGGTATAAACGCTATTGTTGGCTGGGTGAAGGTGTATTTACAAAACGAGCAAAAGAAAACTGACTTCAAGCCGGAAACCGACGTGGACACCGTGAATACCCCAGCCTGTTTGGTCGTGGTGCAATACGCGAGCGGGATGATACGACTGATACGAAACACCTTGGATGGCAGACATTTGGATACCGCTCTTAAGGAATTGGGGATCAGATTCCACAAGATCATTTACGATCATTTGCAATCATTTCAGTTCAACTCCGCCGGCGCTATGTGCGCGATATGCGACATGAATGAGTATCGCAAGTGCATTAAAGAGCTAGAGGTTGACTTTGTTACAAATCTCTTTGATACTCTGCACGCCTTGTGCAACTTGCTGTTGGTTAAGCCAGAAAATTTGAAGCAAGTCTGTACGGGAGACCAGCTGGTATGTTGTATAATTTACTACGCTCGTGCTTTCAGAAATATATATATTTTGTATTGTTCCTCACGATTACAGATGACACTCGATCGTACCGTTCTACTCAATTTTATTCAATTAAGGACCGATTACAAGACACAGAAGTTAGCCAATTGTCTAAAAGGTATAACAACGTAATGACATACTCTGCTTAAATAAAAAAAAAGAGAAAAAACTTTGTGCTCAGCCTATTCCACCATGGTCAACGATTGAAATAACTTTTAAACAAGTAATATCGTGATTAGCCGTTTAAACGCAATTGTTGCCTTTAGACTTGTTCACTTTGTCATTAGATTTGCAAATACATGTGTACTCGCGGAAAAGTGTTTCTTCCGAATAAACCTATTTATTATTTCACTTACTTTTCGACAAGTCGCAATAAGTATTGATTAGAGAAAAAGAGGATCATGCGAAGACTAATCAAATTGAAGTTTTGATCCTCTCAAACGCCTCGCGACTTTTGATCATTTACCGAAGCAGAATCCAATGTAAAAGAAAACGAGGATGGAGAATTTTAGCGCACAATTACATATTTTATTGTACATCAGGGATATTAATTACAAGTAGTTTCTTTTAATATTACAGTGAGATATCGCTAAAACATTCATATTTCACTAAAGAAACTTTGTTTTTTTTTTAAACAGATCAATAAATTCAGGTAAACACAGAAATCTGCTTTTGGTTGTGCGCGAAAATTCGCGTAAAAAATCTCTTCGTTACAATGTTATTCGTTTGAATTTAATTATTATAAATATAATTAATTATCCAGACACTTGCACGTTTACAGGAGAAAACGTCTATAAAAATCATTATATTAAATGTCTAATCAGAAAGCATTCCATGCTCTTCAAAATTGAAGTTTGGACAGTTTCACATACCGTCGACAATATTCTGTTCTAAACGCGATCATTTATAGTTTTCCATAATGTAGAAATCGAGCTTCAGGCTTGAGTAAATGACTTTTTTTTTACGGGCTATGAAAAAAGTGGAAAGTGGCGCGCAAATCGACTGCGCATCAGCGCATACGGTAGTTATTAGTCTCGTGTACTTGGCACAGCTCCCCTTTGAAATCTAACTCGATGCTGAAATCCAGATCCCTGTAATTCCTGGCGTTGGGCCTCATCGAGAATACGCCGTATATCTCCTCCCCCTTCTTCACGGTCATGTACTCGTCGAAGTAAAAGACAGTTTGCTTCCAATGCGTGTACGGCACTTCCGGCGCGGTGCTGAAGCCAATGCGTTTGTGGCACTTGGTGAATTCGATGTTGAAGAACGTAACTAGGGCTTGGACGTAGTCGTTCCTACGCACTTGAAGAGTGAACGGCGACGAGAACTCGAGATCGGCCTTCGTCACTGTGTAAAGATCAACCTCTTTGATTAGGCATGCGTTTGTGACGACCTGCTTTGGATCGACGACGTCCACCAGCGGCTCGCTAATGGCCACCTTCCTTATGCTGCTCATGTCAAATCCGTACACGTCGTCCCACCAGTTGATCTTCTCGTCTTTGTATTGCCTATCCTCGATGCCGCAGATGAACAGAGTCGCCTTGTCGGGGAAGAGCATGCCGTCCTCGCGGAGCCACTTGTCTCGGGCGAAGAGCACCGTGTCCAGCATCGATTCGTAAAACAAGCAGTAGCCCATCCACTCGGATATTATTATGTCGACCTTTTCTATCCCGTCGGGCAATGAGACCTCCTCAACTTTCCCTTTAAGTATCGTTATAACGTTGGACAGGTTGTTCGCCTCCACTATCTTCTCCGCGTACTCGACGATGTTGGAGCACTCGATGCCGATGACCTTGGCCGCGCCGGCCTTGGCCGCGAACATGGAGAGAATGCCAGTGCCGCAGCCGATGTCAAGGACAGTCTTCCCCTTGAAGAGATGCTTATTGTGATACATCGAGTTCCGATAAGTCACGGTGCGCACTTCGTCCTTCAGCATCTCCTCGTGTATCCCGTAGTGAGCATAGGAGTCAAAGTAGTAGTCCCTCGAGGTCATGTCGTCAACGGACACGGATTCTCTGCAGGACGCCACGCTGGCGTTCTTGTTCACAGTAGTGGGCTCTGCCGCTATGTCCATGGATTCCATTTCTGACGTCTGCAATGTATTCGTGGCGCATTAAAAATCAATCGATGCGTTTCTGAGGAAATTACTTGGACTCCCTAATTTATTGTGTGTTCGTTAAACCGTAAAATTAATTACAGCGGCGTCTCGAATCTCAAGACGTAACAATTCGCGTTCTACGAGACTGTGCTAAGAGGAGAGCTTTGTTCAATTTACCAGCGAAGCTCGGCTTTGATTTAAAAGAAAAGAAAAAAAAAGTTACGTGGAGACGCGGTTTCCATTACCAATCTACCTCGTGAAAACGAATGATGCACATATACAACTAATATTGTTTCTACAACTAATACTGTTTAAGCGGTAAATTTACAATGCCGTTCATAAGGTACGAGGGCGGCGCGGGATCCGTTAATCCAACGAGCGAGCGCCCGGCAACGAGATGCACGTGCCCGCCAAAACAAATGGCGTCCTCTGCGAAATCAAATGGCCAGTCGATATCCTGCCCCTGCACGCGCTATATACTGCTATATCGTTTCCGCCTTCCTATATAGAACGTCCGCCGAGTGACTGCGGACTCTCCGTGTCTCGATAATCGCGTTATCAGTCACCGGGGCGCCGCTCGGCGTCGCGTCCTCCACAGAATCGGCCCGAAAACGTGTCGCGGGAGTCACGAGGCTACTCTCAACCGACATCCGCGGGAGCCTTGGGCGCTCCACTGTGCGCGACGCGAGTCGAGAGGAGACTGTATATCGCGACGGAGTCCACGTTCCCGGCCGTTCGCGCTTCGAGCGGTGCGCGTCTATTATCTTCCGATTACACCGCCGCGCCGATAATATCATGCGAAAGAACGAGTCCTTTCTTGTCTCGCCGAAATGATCGACTCAATGAAACTCACCGAATTTTCCGTGATACACGCGCGACTCTGCTTGATTTCTACCGGCACTTCATCACTCGTCGCCATTTTGGCTGCGTCACAGCAGACGACCGGTCGTCCCTCAGGGCTGTCGCTAGCGCGGGTGGTTAGATTCTTAAGGCCCGGTTTCACCAACGCGAGTTAATCTAATCGGTCCGTTAACTTAACAGGGTGCCAACATAAAACTTCTTTATTAACCTATTTTCTTGGTTAATAAAGAAGTTTTATGTTGGCACCCTGTTAAGTTAACCGACCGATTAGATTAACTCGCGTTGGTGAAACCGGGCCTAAGGCTTGTTTCCTGTTGCTACACTGGTGAACTAGTGCAATAAATTAGAGTAAGACAAGTATATTTTTTCTCACTCTAACTTACTGCACTAGCACAGCATAACTAGTAGGGGCACTCGCTCTTTTGTTTCACGTTCGCGCCGATCCGTACTGCGCATCCGACATGTTTTTATAATGACCAATCACAGGACTTTTGTACGTGCGTTAGTGCAAAGTCGGTGTGACATTGAAAAATTCGCAGTGTTGATGAATAACGCATAAAGACTTCTATACGTTGGAGCAAGTAATTACATTAATTACTTTTATTAAAACAATGTTTTTCATAGGCCATTTCCATTTACAATAAATAATAGGCCTGTTCTTTATTACTGCACTACTGAACTAGTGCAATAAGTTAAAATGAAACAAATAGATTACCTCTCATTCCAACTCATTGCACCAGTGTGCACTAGTTCAGGAGTGCAGCAATAAAAAACAGACCCAATGTATGCCAGTTCGTATGCGCCTTTCCTGGATACAATCCTGAAAAGAGTTCGGGCACTTTTAGCAGTTGATACACTGTTGACGTTTATGAAAACATGGCGGAAAAGTGAGAACGCTCAGATCAAAGGTGCCGACAGAGAGTGCCTCTACTGGTTATACTGTGGATTTCGCCACAATCGCTGTTATGGCCAAACTTTTATTAAGCCTTGTGTCCACGATCCAAGAACTGTGTCCAAGTTCTAGTTTCGAGAAATGCGCAGCCAATCAACATGCAGCTTTTACGGAGTAGCTGCAAGCTGATTGGTTACACATTTCTCGAAG